ATTCACTCCTAAGTGTGTTTTTGGCAACGGAATCATTGAGTGACAACTCACTGTCACCACAGGCTTCGTGAGGTCACTATACTCTAATGAACCATCACAGTTGTAATAGGAACAACAGTATCACCCTGCATACTGACCTGCCATGAGTACAACGGTGAACTTGGCAATGTTTCTGAGAGTTTGCTCAGCTGACATTTCTAAAACAACTGACCTTTCTTCTATGAGTAGTCATTTCTTTTTCTTTTTTTCCATTTTTATTTAAATTCTAAATAAGATTGTTTTACAGGTCAATCCCAGTTCCTCTTCCTCCCCTCCTCCCGTGCCCCCACTAACACCCTACATATCCCATAACCCTTCTTCTCCCCAGGGAGGGTGAGGCCTTCCATGGGGTGTCTTCAGAGTCTGTCATATCCTTTGGGATAGGGCCTAGGCCCTCCCCCAAGTGTCTAGGCTAAGGGAGTATTCCTCTATGTGGAATGGGCTCTGAAACTTCATTTCAGTGCTAGGAATAAGAGGCCCCATAGATGTCTGAGGCCTCCTCACTGACACCCACATTCGAGGGGTCTGGATCAGTCCCATGCTGGTTTCCCAGCTATGAGTCTGGGGAAGAAGAGCTCCCCCTAGTTCATGTCAGCTATTTCTGTGGGTTTCACCAGACTGGTCTGGACCCCTTTGCCCATCACTCCTCCTCTGCAACTGGATTCCAGTTCAGTTCAGTGTTTAGCTGTGGGTGTCTGCTTCTACTTCCACCAGCTGCTGGATGAAGGCTCTAGGATGGCATATAAGTTAATCATCAATCTCATTATCAGGGGAGGGCATCCAAGGTAGCCTCAACACTCTTGCTTAGATTAGTAGTTGGTGTCATCCTTGTAGATCCCCTGACATTTCCCTAGTGCCTGATTTCTCTTTACACCTATAATGGCTCCCTGTATTACGGTATCTCTTACCTTGCTCTCCTCTATTCTTCCCCCAACTCGAACTTCCTGCTCCCTCATGTCCTCCTCACACACACACACCCTTATCCTCTTCTCATTCTCTTAGCTCCCTCTCCACTCCCCTCATGCTCCCAATTTGCTCAGGAAATCTTGTCCCTTTCCTCTTCTCTGGGAGACCACGTATGTCTCTCTTAGAGTCCACCTTGTTTCCTAGCTTCTGTGATGATGAGGATTGTAGGCTGCTAATCCTTGCTCTACATCTAAAATCCATATACAAGTAAGTACATACCATGTTTGTCTTTTTGTGACTGGGTTACCTCACAGAATGGTTTATTCTAGTTCCATCCATTTGCCTGAGAATTTCAGGATTCCACTGTTTTTGTTTTGTTTTGTTTTGTTTTGTTTTTTGTTCCATTGAGGAGTACTCTATCGTGTAAATGTACCACATTTTCTTTATCCATGCTTCAGTTGAGGGGCATCTACGTTGCTTCCAAGTCTGGATATTACAAATAATGCTGCTATGAACATAGTTGAACAGATGTCCTTGTTGTAGGAATGTGCTTGTTTTGGGTATATGCCCAGGAGAGGAATTGCTGGATCTTGTGGTAGACTGATTCCCATTTCCCTGTGGGATCACCATACTGATTTCCAAAGTGTCTGTTCAAGTTTGCACTCCTGCCAGCAGTAGAGGAGTGTTCCCCTTTCTCCACATCCTCTCCAGTATAAACTGTCATTGGCGTTTTTTGATTTTAGCCATTCTGACAGGCATAAGATAGTATCTCAGAGTTGTTTTGATTTGCATTTTCCTGATAGCTAAGGATGTTGAGCACTTGCTTATGTGCCTTTCAGCCATTTTAGATTCCTCTATGGAGAATTGTCTGTTTAGTTCTGTATCCCACATTTTTTACATTTTAAAATTATTTCTTTATTTCTCTCTTCTTTTTAAAACTTTTAAATTTACATATATTTTAATCATATTCCTCCCCTCTCCCAAGTCCTTCCAGATCTCCTCCCCCTTCCTCCATACCCAACTTTTTCTCAAAAAAAAAAAAAAAAACAGTACAACAACACCCGAAAACCAAGAAAATTAAATATCTCCTAGAAGGTATAAACAACAGCTAAGTAGTTACCCTTTACCCCAGTAGCTAGATTTTCACTCATTCATTCATTTTTTTAAATAATGTAACAAAAGAGAATCATTTTACTTGTAGGTCTATGTTTTAATTGATGAACATGTGGTATTATTAAATAACTAATTGGTGTGCTTTTCCCTGAGGAAGACTATTTCGCTCACTCTTAGTATGACTTGGTTGCCTATAACTT